TATTTAGGGCAGCTTTTGATGTATCCCGGCGCGGCCGCGGAATGAATGGGCGGGGGGGCCTGGGCCTCGGCCCGGTGTCCCCGGGCTCCCGAGCCGGGGCCGCCCCGCCGTGCCCGCCCCCCGCCCGCGGCGGTCTCGGTTCACCGTCAATGGCCTGATTGCTCTACGTGACCTGAGCGCGTCTCCCCGCAGCAACGCGCCTTTAGACGAAAATGCCGATTTTTAAAAATTCTGAATGAGCGCATTATGCATTGAGCAATCAGGATGTGTCCTGTGTCTGCAGGATTATTCGTTTAGAGAAATATTTGTGGGGTTTTTGTTTGATTTTTTTTTTTTTGGCAGCTGCTGTTCAAATAGAGCATCATCCTTTCCTTAATACCTCTCTGATCTGCCACGTACCTCCAAATTGGCATTTTTTTAATGAAAGGTTTTCTCCCCATCCTTTCCATCTTTTCTGGCTCCCTGAGCGTGCAGGCACCCGCTGGAAATCCATCCTTTTGTCGGGCTGTGAGGCACCTTGGCAGGAAGTGAAAAAGATACCATTTTAAAGCAGGAAGAGATCAGATGCTATCGGTGGATATTTCCCCTTGGTAATTTTTTTTAGCAGTCTAGTGTTTCCCCTAGTAAAGCAATATTATGTGGAGAGTTACCTTAACTGGTGCTGCATTAAGATCTCTTGAATGGCAAAAATAACAAAGTGGGGTTTTTTTTAATAGGGATACTTGCAATAAATATTTTTTTTAAATAAGTCTAGGAAAGAATAGTTGAGAGAAAGGATTATTTTATTATTTTATTTTATAATTTTATTTTATTAGAGATTCAGCATCCTAAATTAGAAGGTTTTTCAATTAGCATCTGAAATTGTTATAATGGTTCAGGAAGAAGAACATCATATTTGGTTGTTCAGGGATTTGACAGTTCTGATGTCTTCGTTAAGCCTCATATAGCAAAAATTATCTTTAATGGGGCTGGAGTTCAGAGCCTTTGGGCAGTTTTTGCACTATCATTTAGAAAAAGGAAAGAAGAAGAGGTAGCATTTTCTTGTTACAAAGGGATATGGAAGCTGCTTTATGGTTTGCTTGTTTTTGGTTTGAGTTTTCTTTTTGTTGTTCTTTTTTCTTTAATATTCCTACTGGGAGGCCCAAATTAAAAAAAAAATAAAATTAATTCAGAGCCTCCACTGGTGTGGTCCTTTATATGGCAATAATCACTGAGTTGTAAAATGTTTAGTGTATTGGTGGTGACAGCAGTGTTGTGCCTTGGCTGGTCTCAGGCGTGACACGGGATAAAAGTGATTCTTCCAACCAGATTTCCCAAGGTGGGTGTGTCACACACGTTTCTTTACAACCTGGCTATCTGTGTGTGCTGTGAATTCCAGAGACATCTTGGATCCATGCAGTTTTTCCCTTGGTGAGTTGGACCAGCCGGATATAAATAACCACAAGAGTGGAAGGTGCCTTCATGGTGCAAGAGGAGGGGCCTGTGTCACTTCAGCTGGTGTGGTTTTGGGTTGTGCTTCACTTTTGGGCAGAACAATGTGTGTCTGGAAGCCACAGAGCAGAGTGTCAGAAGTAATTGTGAAATCAACTCAAAATGTTCACATTGATTTGGGATAATTGAAGAAGGATTGCGATAACTAAGCTGGACAAAAATTCAATTCAGTAAAACTTTTGAGTCTCAATTGCATGTTGAGGTATCAAGTAGTTCTATATTGTCAAACCAGTATTTTGATAATAATATTTTGCCTGTGTGACAAGAGATGTCTTATTTTAGATTTATTTCTAATATCTCACACTTAAAAGCATGATTGAAATTAAATCTCTTTCCAGGTGTCAGAAAACTTATAGATAAGAAATGGAGGATATCTTTGGAAAAATCAGGTGAATTTTTAATGTTAGGCTTGTCTTTGAAATTTACTGTTCTCGTTAGGCAGCAGCCTATCTTTGAGGAAGAGGTGAGTGACTCGAAGGAAGTTCTTGCAGCATGTGGTGTGGGAGGCAGGCAATGGCACCTCAAAGGTCTGGCGTGTTAGAGGTGGATGTTCTTATTGTTAGAGGCCAAACAGAAAGTTACTTATTGGCCTGTGAAATTGCTGTAACTGTATTTAGGGTTTTTGTTTGAGCGTTCCATCAGTGGAAAGGATCAAGCAGGAGATCTGATAAGAATATTATATTCATTTTAAAACCAGTCACGTGACCTGTTCGCAAGCTTCCTCATTCTTTTAGTTTGAAAGAACACTTATACATGCAAGTTCTTAGTGTTTGATGACTCAGTAGGAAGTGAAAGACTCGGTATAAACCACAGTGAAATGGAGAAGAAACTATATATGGTAAAAATTGTTACATACATGGTCTTGCACAGAGGCAGGCTAAATAGCTGTTCTTAGAACATTCTGAATGTATAGCAAATGTGTGCAAAAACAAATGATGATGAAGTTCTTGCAGAAATGGGTAGATTCATGGAGTGCTTGTGTTATTGTTGGAAACATGATCATTACACTGAAATTGTTCAATAATTGGTTTGAGGGGTGTGCGTGGCAAGAGGTGGAAGAGAAACAAGTGCACTGTACTTAAATTAGAGAGTTTCAAACTGAGAGTGGCAGAACAGTGAGTGTTTAATGTTGAGCCTTAGAAAAGAGAAGCTGTTCCAGATTACTGCAGTGCATAATGTTTACTTGAAGATTTTGAAGAATTTTCTATAAGGGACAGGAGGGAAAGGTTTCTTATGTTTCCTGTACCCCTTCAAAAAATCTAAAAGAGTCCAAAGTCTGTTATTATACAGATCTGTGCATTTTCCTGTTGGTGGTTTTACTGAGCCTATTTCTTCAGCCATGCTAGGCAATGCTGGGTGATCACAAACCTACTGAACCAGCTGAATATCCAGGATAGTGTCAGGGAGAATACTACAGTGGGGATGTCCACATTGAGGGAGAAGCTGACAAAGAAGGCTCACTTGCTCTTCCCCGTATTTTTATGTAGACTGGAAGGGGAAATTTAAAATTTGAAGGCAAGTTAAATTTTTTTACTTTCTGTCTATGGCAGAGTCTATCAAACTTTGTAAAATGTAATTTTTAAGGCTCTCTGGTCTGGCCAGAAAGAGGTGGGAAACAGACTCTCAATGTCCAAGCTTATTCTTGCTCATTGTAGTTTGCATCAATTAAATCTGGTTTTCATTATGTTTTAGGCTGGTTGGAGAAACGACAGTCTGTTTTAAAAACCTAGAATTTGTTAATTTCCTGGGAAGATGCATCAAGATCTTAATGCAAAAAGAGGCTGGAAGTTACTATTCATGTCAAATAGTAAGAATTTTTGTGGTTTTGTAGGTCAGCAGTTTTTAGGTCAGTATAGTTGTATGTGATTCTGAGAGGTGTTTTAAAGGTTGGCCAAGAGACGCTGATTTTTGTGAAGTAGTTGTTTTGCTTGCATACATCAGGGTTGCTATATAAGTAATGGGCGTTTAAAAATTTGAGTAGTGGAGCTTCTTGAGGGGGTGTTCCAGGAGTTTAAGTTGTAAAGATTTATTGAGATATTCCTTATACTGTTACTTCTGAAATACTGGTGTATTCAGGTATGCAATCCAGAAGTGCTTGTGGCTGCTCTTTGCTTTCTCATAGCAGCACTGCATTCTTGAATGCACAGATTAGATCTATACAACTCCTAGGCAGGTCTGGCCTTAGTGTAACCAAAAGAATTGATAAATACTTGCCTTTGCAGAGTATTCTGGGTTTGAAGTAGAATGAGTGAAAGGAGTTGTGTACACAGTGTCATTCTTCAGGTATTCCAAACAGCTCTGCCTTTGGAGGGCAAGCACTGAAGGAGTGAAAGAAACTAGGGTCACCAAAAAACAAAATAAAAATCCTTTCTCCCCTCTGTTACCCCAGCTTTAATTCAAATATCTGTTGGTTTGGTCTGTAACCGGCTCTCTAAATTTCTTTCCACAACAGGTGCCCTTTTTTACTGCAGTAAGGTGAATAATTACGAGCAACAGCACAAGTGACTTTTCATGTTACCGTTAGTGTAATGACAGAATTCCTCTGAGCTGCAATTAGCTGTACTCTTTGCTGGGATAATTGTTCCAGTGGCATTCTTCAGACCTTGCTTCAGAAAACTCGGCGAATATTTGGAAAATTCTAGCAGATGGCTTTTAATACAACCTGCAGTGGATAATTACAATTTGGGACAGGGTCCCAAGGAGTCTGAATTGCCTGTTCTTGGAGGTTCCCAGCAGCCAGCTGGTCCAAGCTCTGAGCAAGCTGCTCACAATTCAGCGGTGACTGGTTTGAGCCCAGCGTTGGATGAGACAGTTCCTGATGTTCCTTCCAACCCGAGGGCTCCCAGAGTGCTGGGTTACTGCTGCTGCACCTCAATGCTTGGGTGATTTTGCAGATGAAAATGTTAATATATTGAGCTATATTAACATGAAAATG